CTATGCTAATTATGGGAGAAGAATCATTTGTCAAATCTGCAAGCAATTTGATCATGAAGCTATTGAATGCCCTGAGCGGCTGAATCCTACCTTTGGCACCTTCTCTCCATCTGCATTATGTGCTAATACCTCTACTCCTCAGCACTCATGGTTGCTTGATTCTGGTGCATCCTCACACATGACTAACTCCTATGCGAAGCTGCAAAATCCAAAATCTTACACTGGACCTGAGCAAGTATACATTGGAGATGGCAAAGGTTTGCCAATACTTCATCTTAGTTCCTCTAATGTATTTATCTTCTCATTGCTTTAATCTTAAGAATGTTTTACATGTTCCTGATCTCAAGCAAGATTTGTTATCTGCAAACAAATTCATTCTTGATAACAACTGCTCAATACATCTATATCCTTTTCACTTTACTGTGAATGATCTTTCTACGGAGAAGGTGCTTTTTAAAGGACCTGTGCAAGAAGGCTTTTATCCGTTTCAAACTTCCATTGCTGCCAATCAACATGTGTTTGCAGCTTCATCCAAAACACCTCAGGATATATGGCATCAAAGGCTTGGTCATCCCTATTCTAGAATACTAAATAAAGTTGCATTTCACTGTGGTATTTCTTTTTCTACTGGTATAAATAAATCTCTGTGTTCCAACTATGCAATGGGCAAATGTTCAAAATTGCCATTCAGTTTTGTTTCTTATTCTACAAGTAGACCTCTAGAGCTTATACACACAGACATATGGGGACCTTCACCAACTGTATCTGTACATGGCTTTCGATATTACATCATCTTTGTTGATGATTATACAAAGTATTGTTGGTTCATTCCACTTACATATAAATCTGAAGCTTTCTAGGTCTTTACTCATTTCAAGTCTATGGTTAAGAACTTGTTGTGCACTAAAATTGTTACTCTGAGATTAGATTCTGGTGGAGAGTTTCTAAGTATTCAGTTTTCCAAGTTCTTAAGGGATATTGGCATTATTCACCAACTTAGTCGTCCCTATACTCCAGAACAAAACAGTTGTGCTGAAAGAAAGCATCGCCACCTGGTTGAAACAACACGAACTCTTCTTGCCTCTAAAGTTCCTCATGAATTTTGGGTTGATGCTTTTGCCGCATCTATATATCTCATCAATAGACTTCCTACTGCACAACATTGTTCTCCATGAGAATCTTTTTTTCACAAACTACCAGAGTATACCACTCTTAAGATATTTAGTTGCAAATGTTTTCCTTGGCTCAAACCCTATATCAGTTCCAAACTTGAACCCAAAAGTCAACCTTGTGTCTTCTTGGGCTATAGTTTACAACACAAAGGGTATAAATGCATGGATCTTGTCACTCGAAAGGTCTATATTTCCAGGCATGTCATTTTTTATGAAACTCAGTTTCCATTTCATCACATCTCAAGCTCTTCAACTCTGCCTATGTCTCAACCTTCTCTTTTCAATCCTATACCTACATCATTAACCTTCTCCACAACCCCTGCAGTATCTACCATACCTTCTTCATCCAACCCTCCCACTCATCAACACTCTATCAGTCCAAATTCATCCAACCAACCAACCAATATTCACCTTATGCAAACCCGGTCAAAATCTAGAATTGTAAAGCCTAAAGCTTATACTGCAACTAAACATCCATTTCCATCTCACATATCTCAAGACTATCTTCCATCTACCTATTTTCAAGCCTCTAAATATCCGCACTGGAGACAAGCCATGCATGAAGAATACAATGCATTGTGTAGGACTGATACTTGGTCTCTCGTACCACCACATCCTTCTCAAAATCTAGTAGGTTGCAAATGGGTTTTCAGAATCAATAGGAAACCAAATGGGACAATTCACAGGTACAAAGCCCGGTTAGTTGCAAAAGGGTTTCACTAGTAACATGGCCTCGACTACATTGAGACATTTAGTCTCGTGGCTAAACCTGTCACCATCAGATTGCTTCTTACACTGTCATCTTAATTCAATTGGTTTCTCCATCAATTGGATGTAAGTAATGCCTTTTTACATGGCAACCTATCAGAATTTGTATTCATGATTCAACCTCCGGGTTTTGAAGTCTTTACTCAACCTCATCATGTTTGTCAACTGCATAAGTCCTTGTATGGTCTTAAACAAGCCCATCGGGCATGGTATGACAAGTTATACACTGCTCTGTCTTCTCTAAGATTCACTGGTTCCAAAAATGACCATTCACTTTTTGTTAAAAAAGGTCCAGCTTTAGTCTTCATTCTAGTATATGTTGATGATATACTAGTGACTGGTCCACATCCTCAAGCCTGCAAGGATATTATCTCTCAACTCAACAATCTGTTTCCTATTAAAGATTTGGGGCATCTTCATTATTTTCTGGGCATTGAAGTCAAACGTTCATCTTCAGGGATTTTTATTTCTCCGACGAAGTACATCCTTGACTTGGTGCTAAGCCATGTGCAACTCCACTTAGCACTTCGTCTTTGGATCATGAATCTCCATTGTTGTAAAATCCTACTGAGTATAGGTCATTGGTTGGTGGGTTACAATATCTTACTTGGTCTCGACCGAATCTCTCTTTTGCAGTAAACTTAGTCTGTCAATTTATGCATCAACCTCGAGAATCTCATCTTCAAGCAGTGAAATGAATTTTGAGATATCTCAAAGGCACTCTGGAGCTTGGTCTCTGGTTTCCCAAAATCTTCACTTCTCTCAGTATCAATGCCTTCTCCGATGCAGATTGGGCAGGTTGTCACATAGATAGGAGATCCACAAGTGGCTTTTGTATATTTTTGGGCAGTTCACTCATCAGTTGGAGTGCCAAGAAACAACCTACAGTAGCATGATCTTCTATTGAAGCTGAATACCGATCTTTGGCAAACACTGCAGCTGACATTACATGGATCTGCAAGCTCTTGGTTGATGTTGGTCTACAACTTCCATGTCTTCCTCAAATCTGGTGTGACAACATCTCCGCTATATCCTTAGCCAAGAATCCTATTTTTCATGCCCGAATAAAGCATGTGGCAATTGACTACCACTACATTCATGAAAAAGTTCTTTCCAAAGTTGTTTATGTCCATTTTATTAATACTCAAGCTTAGATTGCTGATATCTACACTAAGTCTTTTTCAAAGACTCAATTCCATCTTCTTCTAGACAAACTTTCACTTCACACACCTCAGTTTAGTTTGAGGGGGGATAATAAGGGTAGTATTGCAAGAGATAAAACTTAGCTAGAACTTTCTGTTATTCTAGTTAGTTAAGTAGTTCTTTCATAAATGTATATATAAGCATCAAGCTTATTGATTATGTTTGTACCATACTTGACCAATCCCGAAACTGCTGAGCACCGGTCAACGTTATACCGTCAAGGACCCAGAAAAGTTTCACTCCAATCAGGAGGCCAATCACAGCGCGACACGTGTCGACAACAGAAGCCAATCATAGCGCGACACATGTCAACATCAGAAGCCAATCACAACACAACACGTGTCAATGTCAAAACAAAGCTAGAAACTCTCTTCTATAAAAGGAGATCATTCTCCCACAATATTTCCTAATGTCATTTGTACTAAATCATTCACTAATACTCACTAAAGGAGAGCTTAAACCTATGTACTTGTGTAAACCCTTCATAATTAATGAGAACTCCTCTACTCCGTGGACATAGCCAATCTGGATGAACCACGTACATCTTGTGTTTACTTCCCTGTCCCTATCCATTTACATACTTATCCACACTGAGCAATCTAGCGAAGGTCACAAACTTAACATTTTCTGTTGTACCAAAGTCTTCACTGATTTTGTGCATCAACAGATTGAGTGAAATACAATCACATTTATATTTTTTACTTCTCTCTCTACATTTCTATCTTCCACAGAATCTCTCTCTCTCTAGACTTTATCAGTTCTCTCTATAGCCTAATTTGCCCGGTCTTCCCCTCCAGCCATAGACTCCGGACCTTCTTCCTCATCTAGGGTTGGCAAGCCATGAACCATCTGGTATATGCTACGCTCCCTGGCTCAACCCACGCGACGAGTTTATACAGTCTATCAGTACATGATATTGTACTGTGACTGGGCTTGTCGTCGTCGATGCCCTCGGCATGGGAAGATATGGATACCAAGAAAGCTTGATATCCTAACTGCAACTTCAAGCCAAAATGTAGACACTCGAAAGAATTAGAAAACATGTTCCAGATTATTTATTTGCAGTAAAATTAATCAACAAAATCCCATTAGAGAAAAAAAATTGGAAACAAGACCAAGTCCCTTTCAGTAGGTAATTGTTGGGAAGATTCATAGCTAAATTATATATATCGAGTTTATATCCGCTTGTGTCTGTCTGTACAGCAGGAAGATGTTGGGAAGGTGGCGAATGGTCCAATCTGGCGTGCGTGACTGGAAATATTTTGACTGGGGCTATTATATCATCATATAATATAAACCCTTCGATTATTTTCCAATTTAGAGTAAATTAATATTTGAGGGCAACGCGTGAGGTTATGTGTGTGCGTATACATATATATGTATATATATTATTCTCTTTCTCTCAAAGATCATATCTAAAAAAAATTACTAAAATTTGAAATCATATGAACATTGGATTCAATGGTAGTAATTTTAAGTGTTTCTTTATAGTAAAAAAATGGACGAATACGGTTTTTCATATCCTCACATGCCCCCTCATGTGTGGTAAATTTTCAAGCCAAATACGAGAACATCACAAATTGGATGACGTGCTAGTATGTGTGGCCGTTGGGCTTCAAACGTGGCCAACTTGTTTTGATATTATGAAGAAGTTGAGGTTCTACTATAAAACCAATTGACAATATGGTGAGTAGCCCAACCTCTTACAGACCCTTGCAAAATTTCTGCTTTCACCGATGTGGAACTCTTTTACCTTTCACACCCTTGAGTATACCATAAACAGTTCAGTTGATTGACTTAGTCTTGCTATTTAGGAAGGCATCAAGACGCGGTGTAAACGAATTAAGATCCATTTTACATTTTCTGTTTTGTAGACTCTGGGATTTAGTAGTAGTACTGCACTGTCAGTTATGTCACGTTTCTTCAATAATTTGTGGAAGAAAGGTGCACTATATTCGTCTGATCATAGAAGAAAACCTACAGATACAGATAGAGATGACGCCAAATGGGCGTTTCCAGAAGAATTGTGTCGTCGGTTTTCACTCGCGGAGATCATAGCAGCAACTCAAAACTTCAATGCTAGGTTACGGGTTGGCAATACCAGAAACTTGTCATTTGACGTTAATGGCCTAATAGAAAAGTTTTTGGTGTTTGATCACCCTGAAGGTCCGAAAACAGAAGACGGTATTAATGTTAATGCTGCAGGTGTCTACAAAGGATACACCAACTTCAACGGGGTAACTTCCACGGTAGCAATCAAGCACGTGCCCGGCGCACAATCAGATATTCAGCGGGGACGCGAGTTCAAGGCGGAGGTGCAGCTACTGTGCCAGCTGCGCCACCCTAATTTAATCTCTCTAATCGGATTCTGCCAAGAAAAGGGAGAGTGCGCCATTGTTTACAACTACATGTCCAATGGTTCCCTTTCTAATTCCCTTTTCAATCCTCATAAAAATAATAAGGATCCGTTGTCTTGGAGGCAAAGGCTGAATATCTGCATTGGGGTGGCGCGTGCAATACACTATCTCCACACAGGGGTTAAGCATGCGGTAATCCACCGAGACATTAAATGTGACAACATACTCTTGGACCAAAGCTTAGAGGCCAAGCTTTCTAACTTCTGGCTGTCCAAGATGGGTCCTCCTGTTGTGCCTTGGCCGTTCGTCAGTGCGGAAGTGAGATTCAGATTGTCTTACCAAACTACAAACCCACAGTTGAACAGTTTAAATTACAAGAAATAAATACACTGAGAAATTTACGATGTTCGGCAAAAATCTGCCTACGTCCTCCAAGAGATATTGCTCTTCACTATGAGAATAACTAGTACAAGATACACTTGAGTTAAATCAACATAACCCAAACCCCAATCCTTTGTACCCTCACAGAATTTTACTAAGAGCCTCACTCTCCCCAAGAGTTTCTCACTCTCACTCTATATTTTCTCTCCTTTGTGTTCTCCTTCAGATGCTCTCTCAATGCATTTCTAAATGCACAAATATTGCATCTAGTTATAGGCATACACTAGCAACTATGCCAACAAACAAAACCAAAAAGTCTTAAATTCACATGACATAATTATCACCTAGCATACCTAGCATGCATCAAAGTCTATACCTAGTCTATAAAGTACAACTTTTCTCCATTTGTCATTTAATATATATAAAATAAAACATGCACAATAAAACATGCACAATTGCGTGCAAGCAACTAGAAAGTCAAGTCTTGCTTCCAACTTTGCTTGTGGTAGTCACCATGTCTCCTCTTGAAACAAGACATCCATGCCACAACCGAAAACCAAACACAAAATGGCTACTGTTATTTCCCTGTAGCACTCAGAAAGTTACACTATCAAAATTGTTGCTAACTCATAAGTATATGAGCCAAACACAACACCTCCTACTTTGTCAAATGCATTAATCAGATTGAACTCGGCTTCCGGAGTGGCAGGTACATTCGGGTATCTTGATCCAGAGTATGATTTGTCTGGCCAGCTTACGGAAAAATCTGATGTCTACTCGTTTGGAATGGTGTTATTCGAAGTGTTGTCTGCCAAATATTCAAGAGCGATACCACGAATACATATGGCTCGCCCAGCTCATATTCTAGACCCATTTCTCATGGGAAAAATAGCTCCCGATTGTTTGATAAAATTTTTGGACATCGTCCAAAGATGCGTCCGCCCTACAGGAGCCCAACGGCCCACGATGGGTGAAGTGGAGGTGGAACTTGAGCTTGCACTGGAGCTGCAGGAGAGAGCAGATGCCGGAAAGGAGTTGAGGACAACTAGCACTCCTCTTGATCAGCCTGCAGACTGTGCCTACGGTTATGAAGGGATATCAGTTTCCGAATTGAATGAGACTTTCTCCTCTCTATACATGAGTAGACAGAGTCCAGTAGTTAGCCCAACCAGGTCTGCTGATTTTTCAGTAGTTAGCCCAACCAGGTCTGCTGATTTTTCAGTACTTTCTGATGACGACGGTAGCTCTGAATTCGAATTTTCTGGCCGGTAAACAATTAAAGAATATGCAGAAAAATGCGATGCTGTTGGAAAAAAAAAAAAAAAACCATCGAATGTATATTAGTCTTGTGTTTCTTGTATTAGTTTAATTGAATTTCGCATTGAAATTGGGGTGTGGCTTCCTAGCTAGCTACCAGTCGTTGGGTAGGTTTGAATGTTGAGTTTTAGGTTTGATATGAATTTTTCAAGCTCTTCAAATACAATATTCAGCGCATCTGTCTGCTTTGATAGTGCCATTTACGATGTGTCTGTTTTGTGACTTCTGCGTTGCTGGCATCCCAATCCAACTCGAAGTTTGGCCAATTTCGAAGAAATTACTTGGTTCTGATTTTTCTCACATTTCTTTCCATGTCCCCATTACGAATTCACCCCGTATGTACGCGTGAATCTCTTCTGAGTTGGAAAAGTATGTTGAGTTGACTATGGGGATGCCACTTCAAAAGTAAGTCCTCTTTGCCCAGGAGTGCCAAGACTTATGATCATCATCAATTGATTCTTAATGTCTAAATCTAAGATTTTGAGCTCCTGATCTTGGAATTAGACAACAGTTAGCACAATGATGGGTTTCAGTACTACTGCAGAGTCCGCCTCATGTTTCTTCTTCTCTGCATGGAAGAAACTAGCATCATGTGATAAAAGTAGGAAACGCAGACAAAACCAAGACTGGGCCTTTATGGAGGAATTATCCCGCCGATTTTCGCTAGCTGAGATCATAGCAGCCACTGAATGCTTCAACGACAAGTTCCATATTGGTAGCAGTGCCATGAGCACAGTCTATAAAGGGTACATCGACGGCGGGGCAACTGTTGTTGCAATCAAGCGATTTACAGGCAGTAGACAAGACTTCAGGAATGAGGTGCTGCTGTCCTGCCAGCTGCGCCACCCCAACCTTCTCCCTGTTATTGGATTCTGTGAAGAAAAGGAGGAACTCATCCTTGTCTACGACTACATGGCCAAAGGTGCCCTCTCTTCTAAGCTGTTCAAAAGAGCGGATCTTGATCCGCTGCCCTGGAGGCAAAGGCTGAACATATGTATCGGGATAGCACGCGCATTGCATTATCTCCATGCAGGGCTAAAACTTGCTATTGTCCACCGCGACGTGAAATGCTCCATCATACTATTGGATGAAAGGTTCGAAGCAAAGGTTTCAAACTTACTAACGTCCAAGATGGGTCCTCCTAGTTTGTCAAATAAATTCATACGAGTGACCTCTGACAGGATCGTGGGCACTTTCGGGTATATTGATCCCGAGTATTTCCATTTGGAACAATTTACAGAAAAATCTGATGTCTACTCATTTGGAATGGTGCTGCTGGAAGTGTTGACTGCCAAATGGGCAAAAGAGTTTCATACATACACAGGCAGGCCGGACACCTTATGCGATATAATGGACCCTTCTTTGAGGGGTAAAATAGCTCCTGATTGTTTGCAAAAATTTATGGATATCGTTTACAGATGTGTAAGTCCTACAGGAGCAGAGCGGCCCTCAATGGGCGAAGTGCAAGTGGAACTGGAGTGCGCATTGGAGCTGCAAGACAGCGCAGATGCCAAGAAGGACGCTTGTGTTGGTCTTGCAGGTGACTATAGCTACGAAGGGATGTCAATTTGTGAAATTAAAGATATTTTCTCATTTTTGTTTAGGGCAGCTGTCAAACTTCGGATGTGTCAAGTCTTGATTTGAATAGCAAACGATTTTTCTGCTTCTGATGATGGTTGATTAAAATCCGATAGGGCAACAATAATGTAGACATTTTCATGTATACCATGCCCTTAAATCCATTTGTTTTTAAGTAAACTCGTATTTACGTACTTTCGGAACAACAGCGAAGATTTGGTAAATTTTGTTTCTTTTTCTTCTAACTTGGGTGGTTCAAATTGTCTGACCAAAAACAAAAAGAGTTGAGTGTTACTGGGAGCACTATATCTACAAGCAGGCCTTGACAATTCATATAGCTATCAATCAACTGAGAGCAAAAGACAACTTGGTTGACTCCCTGCTTGAGTCTTTGAGTCCTGACACTGCCCTTTTTATGGATGCATAAATGCTTTATATCATCCAATTATAAATTTTTTGGGGTCTGAACTTTAGATCTTTGCACCTAACATCTCCATATAAAACTATATATCACCATATCAAGTCTAACTAGATTTAGCCACCATCAAACCCTAGCCATCAAGGATACAAAAGAAAAGAAATCAGCTATTACATCCAGTGACCAAATATTAAAAAAAAAAGTTAATTGATCAAATCAGAAATGGCTACAGGGATTGAAGAAAGGAAGGTACAACATGCCAATTATCATGCGGGTCTTTTAGGTCGGGGTCCAACAACACATGGTTGTTTTTTTAGACTAGGTTTAGTTTATTCAATTCCTTTTCTTATACCAATTTTGTCATTTCAGATAAAAAATATAAATTTATGCACTATGGTGCGTGTTTGATCCTCACCAATCCCTTGCTCCTAATAATAACTAACAATTTAACCTACTAACGCTATCGTTTGTTATAAAAAAAATAGTGTATGCATTAAATTATAAAAAATAAAAGGATTTAAAAAAGTTACAAACATATGGAGTTTGATGGAGTTTTAATGGATTTCCATGGACCTCCTGTGAATTTTGAGCAAAATTCCTCCAAAATATCACTGGAAGAAGTATAATTTTGTAGACTAAATCAGACTATATATGAAATTCATCAAAATCGTTCACTTTTAAAATCCTTTTAAATCTCAATTAAATACATTCCTTTATAGGTTGAGAAGGCTAGGTGTGAGTGCAGGCGTTTTAAGGATTTTTCTTTTTTCAAGTATAAGGGTTAGGTTTGACAGCGGTGGTGTGTGCGTTTCTTCTTTGCTTTTTGCCATTTTTTGGTAATTTCGTGTATTTCTAATTTTTTATTCATTAATTAAATTATTTTTCCTTTTTTCCACAAATACATTTTCACACACCAGGTATATGTATACATAGGCTATAGCAAAGGTATTTTAAGACGAACTTAACCTCGCGATATTATTTTGTAATTCTTGTTAACCGCTAATTTGTTTAACAAAAAAAAAATGAACTCGAATATAGTCAATTGGAAGAATTAGTGAAAATAATATTTTAGTTAAAGTGAAAAGATTTCACATACTAGGTTTATGTACGGTCATTGACGTTGTTTTCAATTTACTTGTGCGCCGCACAAATTATCTTTATTTTTTTGGACAAATATCTTTTCTTTTGTTAAAATGGTAAATTCTAGTCAGAAAATGCAAATGAACATTCCTAAAATATATGAAGCTTTTGTTGACTTTTGTATTTTAGGTAGGATCCTTAATTGATATGCACCAACTTGAGGGGGAGTTTTCAAGTTTCTTTCCTTTTATGTTAGGGTTGTACACCTATAAGTTCCTCTTATTGAGAAGAATATAGAATCATTCAAAGCATTCTATTTTTTGGCACCAGAGCCTAGGTTTTGAAAAAAAAAAAAAGGAGACGAGATCGTTCTCTATATGGAAAACCATAACTACCAGCCGCGCAGCCAGTTGTGCAGCGCTGTCCAACCAGCGAGCGACGCCGTCGTTGCTGACCCGAGAACCCGAACTACCCACCACGCACCCAGTTGTGCAGTGCGCCGATCAACCAGCGAGCGACGCCGTCGTTGCTGATCCGAGTTCACCGAGTCGGTCCCTGCATCCATCACCACGAACCGAGATTCAACCCACTGCCTGAAATTTGTCCCAGATTTTGACCTGTGTATCTGTTTTGCGTGCCCAAATTCGATTGAACCCAGTGACCCACTTGTTGCTGTTTGAAGAATAACATATAAAAAAGCTTGCTGTTGCGAAATAGGAAAAAATGATTGCTGTGTTGTTGCGGAAAAAAAGGGAAGAAGGGTTACTTTATATATATATATATATATATATATGTATATATATTTTACTAGTATTTGTTTTTGGGGCCTCATAGTTGCTGCTGCATTTGGTTCCAGTACACACGTGCAACCACTTCACAATGGCTGCCCGTGCTTGTCCTTTTTCAAATGGATTTGACCGAACTGGACATGGGAGTAGGACCGATCGAGAACAGTTCAAGACTTGTGATCCCCACTGTAACAAGTCGTGTACGTCGATTATCGAATCGAAAATAGATTCTAATACAGGTAACACAGGTAAGGCTTTAAAAGTTTTTGCATCTGTTACGAATAATACATGTGACGGAGCATATGGAGTTTGATGGAGTTTTAATGGATTTCCATGGACCTCCTGTGAATTTTGAGCAAAATTCCTCCAAAATCTCACTGGAAGAAGTATAATTTTGTAGACTAAATCAGACTATATATGAAATTCATCAAAATCGTTCACTTTTAAAATCCTTTTAAATCTCAATTAAATACATTCCTTTATAGGTTGAGAAGGCTAGGTGTGAGTGCAGGCGTTTTAAGGATTTTTCTTTTTTCAAGTATAAGGGTTAGGTTTGACAGCGGTGGTGTGTGCGTTTCTTCTTTGCTTTTTGCCATTTTTTGGTAATTTCGTGTATTTCTAATTTTTTATTCGTTAATTTCGTGTATTTCTAATTTTATACATAGGCTATAGCAAAGGTATTTTAAGACGAACTTAACCTCGCGATATTATTTTGTAATTCCTGTTAACTGCTAATTTGTTTAACAAAAAAAAAAATGAACTCGAATATAGTCAATTGGAAGAATCTTGTGCGCCGCACAAATTATCTTTATTTTTTTGGACAAATATCTTTTCTTTTGTTAAAAAGGTAAATTCTAGTCAAAAAATGCAAATGAACATGAAGGAATATTTTGTGAAAACATGTTCATTTAAGCAACATCTATAGCATGCTATTAACAATTAAAAGGCGGAATCATGCTTGCATGCACTTAAAAACAAAACATTAACCATGAAATTCAAAGCCTAGTAGATTGGTGAACCAAAACTCAACTCAAAACAAAGTGAGTTGAAATTGTACCTTTGTAGATTCCTCTTTGCATAAGCAAAGGCTAATCACCCAAAGAGAGGGCCTTCATTCCTTGCATATTAAATCTATGGATTTGGATGGAAGAATAGGTTTCTCCAAGTTCCCAAAATTGAGAACCTCTAAGTCTCTTCACCAAGGTTAGATTGGAGAAGAAATGAGTGACCTTGGAGTAGTGGGATTGCTAGATGCACCCTCCAAGGGGCCGGCCTCTTTAGAGAGAAATGGAGAGACATGTTCTCTCCAATTTTCTCCAAAACAAACCCTAAATGAATTTTGGCTATAAAGTCATATTTATACCTTTATTCATTTGAGTGGCAAACTTGTAAATAAGTCCAAGTTCACTACCCTTAACCATATGGCCGGCCTTAGGGTGTTGTTTGGGCTTTTGGGCTTTTGTGAATTAAGTTGTCATACAACTTAAGTCAATGGGCTTGACGTTCGAAGCCCATTGGGCCTAAACGTCCAAAACAATCCCGAGGTCTTTAACGAACTTATTCGTTTGATTAATTAACATATTAATTAATCCTTGCCATAAATAAATAATTAAACCATTTAATCATTCTTACTCATCTCCATTGTTTCTTCAATCTCCACCTTACACGGTGTACGATCCATTAGGTTCCTTTTAGCGAGGCAGTGGGCGATTAAAACCATTTTACATCGATTGTGAATTTGAAACTTACTTTCAATTCTCCCTTTAGTGATTACACACGTTTAGGGCTTCCACAAACCATGAGTGACACCTAGCAGCATATCTTGGTTACCCAAGCTAATCAGAAGAGGTAGATAACCTATTCAGTTTGGGATTACAAATGCAATACGGTCTTTCTCTAATCTAATACTCTTGACCACATTGTTTGGTTTGATAGTTTATTTATTCATGTCTACTATCCAATGTGATTCGTGTGCTTATATGATTACCTTGAATGTGATTTGGAACGCATTCCCAAATCTCATTCATACTCTGGCTAGAGATTCTAAATCATATCATAGAGTATTCTCCCTCAAACCATTTGAAGGTTAGAGATCCCTTATTGCGCATTCATATGCCTACATGATTAGATAGCTTGATCCCAACAATGCCGTGGACACTCCAAAGGAATGCCGTTTAACATGATCAAAGATCAAGGACCTAACCATTAGACATCTATGATGCCTCAGGTCAAAGGACTACTTTGCATTATCTCAACCATGAGTTCTCATGTGACATGAATATGAGAACTCTTCGTTGATCGTGTTCAGTGAACTCATTCTTTAATGAGCACCTACGTACTTGTCTTGATGTCGCACACACCAATGACTCGAGACCAGTCACTCTCCCTGAGAGAAGACACAGTACGTACTGATCTTAACGGACTGTCAATGCCCAATTGGCAATCCTATGATCAGGAACATTTAGGATGTGTCTACGAAAGAATGGTCTCATGAATCTAACTTCATTAGATTGCATTCTCCCAATCACATATTCCTTGGACTTTATCGTTTAAGCATATAACATTTATATGAGACGGCTCAAATAATAATTTATGCCTTTTATATGTAAACTAGATTAGTTTAACATGTGAAATGTCCGTAAAGTATCATCATATGATTGGCTTTAGGGCACATTTCCAACAGAACATTCCTAAAATATATGAAGCTTTTGTTGACTTTTATATTTTAGGTAGGATCCTTAATTGATATGCACCAACTTGAGGGGGAGTTTTCAAGTTTC